AGATGTGTTTAACCTTGTTTTCATTTTACAGGTTTGGATAGACTTGCAGAAAATGTTACACATGTTCTTGAAAAAAAAAAGGAGATGTGGTGTATCTGATGGACCAATAGGAGTGTGTTGTGAAGTCATGTGACACAGGGTGAGGGTTCAGCGCGAGTAGTTCAATTACATCCCCACGGTGGGACCACCCGTTTTCCTGTACCTATACCGTTTTTCACCTGCAGTGTGCCCTAAAACTGTGCTAGATAACTGGTTTCTGTCTTGGGAGTCCCTTCTGGGTGTTTGGGGGGGAGGGGCTGTGTGGCAGGCACTGCAAGGGATGCCTCTCACCCTACAGGACTGTGGGCTGGGGGCGTGGTTTACGGTGCCTATGTTTTGGCGCGCTGAGTTGTTGAAGTTCAGTTGTTCTGCGCTTTTGGATTAAAGAGTAAACTCACTTCTGTCTCCTGCGCTTTCTTCGCCCTGCTACAACTGAAGTTTTTAAAACTGCCCTCAAGATGCCTCCTTCAAGATGACAGTTACCCATCATTTTTTTCTTGCAATATGTTTTGTTAAATTTAGGCCTGTTATTTAATCATGGTTGTTTGTAAATAACCCCCAACTTCCCTGTGATTAATCAGCAAATAGTGGCCTCCTTTGTTATTTTTGTTTTTAAAAAGTGAATATGGCCATATACTGTATATGATTTTAGTATTAGGGGAAAACAAAGTTGAATTACAGCTTTTTTCTGACATGTTGCCCATTAAAACACAAACTGCTCACTTCTCTATCATCTCCACAGTAGTTGCCATTTGCTTTTTTTGTATTTTTTTTAACTACTGCCAGACATTTTATTGGATGTATTGGATGTTATGTAATTGGGGGAGGGGAGGTGAAAAGTTACGTGACTGTTATTAAGGAGGGAAAAGCTCCCCTGGGAATTTCACCCAGGGGATTGCTCAAACACAAGGCACAAAGGTTTGTGGTTACTGGAGGGCAAGAGACACGGTTCAAAGTTTGGAAATACAAATTTTATTCAACATTTGTTTTTAAAAAGTATACTCCGTAAAAAACATATTCACACAAATAAAAGAGAAACCTAATCAGGGCTGAGGCCAAAGTGGATGGACAAGAGCTAGTGCAGGGACAGGATCCACCAAAATAAGGCAAAAATAACTTAAATCACCAGGCACACGTGGCAAACACACCCTCAGTGAAGAAATCCAGACCCAGGGACATAGCAAGATACGATGGGAGGACACCACCACCAAGTCACCAGCACCGCCACCACTGGCCTACAGCAACTGAAGAGGAAAAAGAATACCACATTAGTGGGGTTGCACACACAAAAAAAGAAAGAACCCAAAACTTTAAAAAACTATAAGTAAATGAGCAAATTACAGGCTTAAACAAAATGATAACTGCCCAAAACAAACAACAACAACAAAAAAAAAAACAAACTAAAGAAACAATTTACTAAACAACTCTGAATTAACAAAACAGAATTACATGAACAAAATCCAGGGTCAACCAAGACACACTATCACAATCACACGTTCACACACTCATTCACTCAGCATAAGGGGGATCAGTCACCAATAAAAAATAAATAAATAAATAAAAAAAAATTGCTTATGCCCGGACCACGGTGTACAGCCGAACAATCGTCCTGCACAACGTGTATCTTGGAAGCCGTGAAGCCACCGACGGTCGCAGAAGAATGCCGTAGGCAGCAACAGATAAACGGCAATACAGTGAAAGCAGCACAAAATAACACCAAGCAAAGCAGCAGCGGTCCAATGAGGTGGTTACAACAGCTAGTCAAAAGGAAAACACTATTAGCATGTGCTAGATGCACTAAGATTGATGCAGTGGCAAGTAACAATGTGCATACCTTCTCAGAACACACACACTCACGAGGAGGAAGGATTGGACTCCAGGCAGCTGCCAACATTCACCCGTGACCAGACCAGCATTAGCCACCTAGCAGCACCAAGCACAACGCTGAAAGAAACAACACTTACCACCGGCCAACGACCACAGCAGCACACAGGGAGCACGCAGCAGCACACAAACAGTCATCCTACAATAACAGTTACAAATACCTTAAGTATAATAACAAACAAAACGACTAGCAAGGTGAAACAGCGGGCGGCCATACCTGTCGGGCACACGACCTCTAACCCGGAAGTAACACGGGTGATGATGGGAGCGCAGAGGAAGACCCGGTGGGTGGACTACCGTTTTTATACGAGCTCACCTCAACGACTGGCGGAAGTGAGGAAGGGAAGCCATAGCAACAGTCAAAACCCCTCGTACTGCTACAATCTACCCCCCCTTTTTGTGTCGTTGTCCCGACGATGAACCATAAACACGATTAGCTCCCGGGCCTAAAAAGTGCAGTGACAGCATGTGATACAGACCCCTGAGAGTTTGTAGCCCCCAATGCCAAGTCTCCCACCGGCCTTGGGATACGATGGGTTTTTAGACGAGCTCACCTCAACGACGGGCGGAAGTGAGGAAGGGAAGCCATAGCAACAGTCAAAACCCCTCGTACTGCTACAATCTACCCCCCCTTTTTGTGTCGTTGTCCCGACGGAGAACCATCAACACGATTCG